CAAATCCAGTTACTAAAACCGAAATTCCTAATTACCCTATCCGCTCTATCTCTGCTAATGCGTGGATCTGAAAGACATAAAATATCTATACCATGCTTTCTAGCTATATCTTTAATCAAGATAGGGAAGGTCCGGCTATCAGCTCCCCTGTAATTCCAGCTAGCAATGATCATTGAAAAATTAAAGAGAACGGGAAGAGTAAAGAGAGGGTACTTATCTGTCCAACGCTATCTCTGGGATGTACTCAACGTCCTCCAATGCTTCCATTGGGACCCCATATCCGGTCTCATCAATTAGTGCTAGTTCACTGCCATGGAATTGTATATTTGGCTTCAGTGGTCTCGGGCAGTTGATGAATTGCATTTCTGGTTGCAAGTTGGTTCCTGAAGGCCGAGATGAATCTTCAGAGTTATTGTCATTTCCCTTTATGTGATTCACTTCTTCAGATTTATTTTGGAATCTCTTCTTTTCTATTTCTTGGATTATTTTGTTTACTTGGCCCATGTGACCACTAACTACTATATGGGCTCTTTCATTCTTCCCTTTAGGTGTCCCATTTGCCTCATGGCCTGATTAGCCCTTTAGTTTCGATGTTTCTGCGCCATTTTGCATGTCCTCTTTGCCCAAACCATTTTTTAAGTTAATGTTGGGCTTAGCATTTTCTTTGCCTTTTATTTTGTATCCCCTTTTATTTTTGTTGTTCGGCTTACCTGATCCATTTATCCTTACATTTCCTGGCCCATTGGGAAGCAAAGCTAAAATCTGGTTTTGTCTTTTTGCAGAAGCAGCTTCATCGCAATTTTCTTTCTGCCCCATCATGGGTATCTCATTAAGGCTATGATCTCTTCTATCTATTTCTTCCCTTCCATTGTAGTCAGTGCCTCGAATCTTGTTTGAGCAACCACCATATCCTTTTTCTGACAAATTTTGAATTTTCCTCCATCTTCCTCTGATCATCTGGTTGTCCACCACGTCTAGAACCTCGTGATTTTGTTGATCTCGAGACGAGAATCCATGGGCCAAATGGATCCTCCTATTTTGCCACCTTTTCTGCTAGCGCTTTTTCTGGTGAAGTTTGGAATGGTTGGTTACTGTAGTTTTGCTCTTGCCTTGATTGTGTACACTTGCTCCATAAACAAGCCCCACACCAGTACCCATACCTCCCACATTCAAAACATATGAGATTCAAACCTTCATATTCCACACTAAAGACTTCACTTGTGGCAATGATTCTCGGAACTAGCAGTTTTTGTAGCTCAAGCTCTACAAAGATCCTAGCATATCTCCCTCTTTCCACCTTTGTTGTTGATGAAGTTTTTTTCGACATGGTGTGCATATCCACTCTAAGAGGTCTCCCATTCTTGTAATGCAATGGTTACTGTAGTAGTGCAGAGGTATATGCGAAATACGTACCCAAGTAGCAACGCACCTAAAAGGATTCTTGAAGGGATTAAAATACGGCGTCCATCTCTAAACCAACAAGCAGTGTTGCGCTATCACCCAAGGTCCTTCATACAAGGCCTTTTTATAATGAACCTTCCACGAATCAGGATTAGTGAACCTAACCACAAAATAATTATTAGGAATGTCGATCAACTCAAACTCTGTTGTTCCCCATATTCGGACCATATAGCTTTTCAACATAAATAGATTGAATCTTTGGCCCAACACCGTAATTATCAACGTGTAGTTCCATGGTTTGCACCATTCATTAAACTCTTCCTATGAGATTGGCACTACTGGGTAAATATCCATCAGCTTCCTAACCTCTTCAGAAGGCTCAAGCAGCTTCCATACAATTTCTCCATCATCATTGAGAAGGTCATGTTAGTGGCAGTCTCACCCAAAAGGGGGGTGAATTGGGTGAGTTATAAAAATTTATGAAATTAAAACAAAGAATTATCAAAAACAGAGAGTGTGAGTTAAGAATGATTTCACCGTAGAAGGTAAGACACAAGATTTATACTGGTTCGGTCTCAACCACTTGACCTACGTCCAGTCCTCAGAATACCTCTGAGTATTTCACTATGTTCCAAGATTGATCGGGCTCTTGGCGCATCAATACAGTAATTGAAGCTCTCAATCACCCCCCTTACTTCCCGTAAGGTTACAGCCTCACTCAAGAGTCCGCACCTTTGAGTATCACACAAACGTGATTAATGAGTAGTAAATAAACTCTCTTACAGAGTGAATAAGTGATAATCACTGACGCTCGAAGTTATGAAAGAACAGAGTATTGAATGCAATAGCAAAAATCAACAGAGGGTAGCTCGCGTATTCAATTCTGTTCATTAATGCTTCTTCGCGCCTTTTATAGTTGAGGTCGTTTAGTAACCGTTAGACAGAAGAGCTTCTAGCTGTTGTAAGTTCGATTGTGTGTTTTTCCAGTTGCAACGGTTTCCGCCATTAATGCTTCTGACAAAGTAGGTTACAGACTACTTGGACAACCGTTGAAGTGCCGTTGGGATTTTCTTCGTAATCTGCAAAAGTATATTAATTCAATAAGTTTATTCTTCGTAGAATAAGATCAAGAGTAGATTCGACCAACTGATAATCGAATATTCATAGCTTATGATTAGAATCAATGTCAGATGCACTGGGTAGTAACTGAATGTGCTTGATCGAAGTGTTGTTCGATTATTACTTGATCGATCAGGTTATCGATTATTCTGAGTGAAGACTTTGAACCAGAGAACTAAGATTATTGATCAAGTTATGGATCATTAGTTTATCGATCAGGTGATCGATAAAGGGAAAAAGTGATATCATACTATGATGCATAGACAATGAAGATCAAGGTTGCTTTTTATTTTGACATTCTTTAAATAGGGAAACAAGACACTTATGAAGGCTGAGAAAAGTTCGAATGAAATATATGATAAATTTTGAGAAACATCGAGACTTGAGGTTTAAACTGAAATCGCCTCATGATCGAACAAGTGTTCGAACACTTGTTGATATCAGGTTATCGATAAATAGTGTTAAAGAAATGACTTTTGAAACACTGATTATCGAACACTTTATCAATAAATGGATGATGGATAACCTTATCGATAAATAGTAGACAAAAGTATATTTTGTGAAAACACAGACTATATAAGTTGATCGAATAGATGATCGATAAAAAGGTTTATTGATAATGTTATTGATAAAGAGGTATTTTCTTGTAAAACAAAAGAGCTAATTTATCGATTAAGTTATGTGAAAATAACATAAACATGAAAGGTGGTTATCGATAAGATTATCGATAATCTGATTATCGATTTGGTGATCGAAGAGCCACGATGAGACAGAGTTATGTTGATTATCGATCATGTGATCGATAATGCTCTTATCGATCAAGTGATCGATAAGCCACCGAAATAAATTCCTACATGAAGAGTTATGAGGCAATGTTCGATCATATTATCGATAAATAGCTGATCAATAATGTGATTGATAAATGGTGATAAAAACAAAACATAGAATGAGTAAAGTACATGACCATTTATCTGTCTTCTCATCGACAACCGGTTTATTGATCATGTGATCGATAAACACCTATTAATTTTGTATTTCCGATTATTGATCAAGTGATCGATAATTTATCCCAAATTTTTATGTGCAACTAAGAATGATCGATCAAATGATCGATCAACACATTATCTAACACGTTATCGATCAAAGTTTCTGCTGAATTTACTTAATTAGACAGAGTTATTATCTATCAGCTTATTGATAAAACCTTGATCGATCAGATGATCGATCAACATGCTGAATCACAAATTACTCACTTTGTTATCATCAAAACCTTAAACCTAACAGGTCATCTATTTCCATAAACTCACCGCCATTAGCAACTCCATTGTAGCCCAGCAGTGATTGTTTATAGGAAATCGCTTTGCCTTTTTCAAGTTGTTGCTGCTTACTCTGAATTTCTTGCTGCCTTTCTTCCATATCTCCTATGTCCTTTTGAGCTTCACCATCCTTGGTCGCTTCCTGCGTCTTATCCTCCATTTGGTCATCCGAGATGGCTCACACAGGTTCATCCACTTTTTTCTGCTTTTTCTGGCTATCCTCATCGGCGTCCACTGGTCAGTCCGATAGATTCTTGCATTGGCCAGTGTCTTCCATTCACGCAACGCAACTGGCTCGAAACCCAAGAGAGAGAAGACTCCAAGACGCTAAGAGCTCAGTTAAACACTTTTATTTTTTCGTTAAAATTTTGCTAACTTCTTACATTTCATTTAATTTTCCATAAGGAAAATTGAGTTTTGGGGGCCAAAAATCATATTTTTAATCAATAAGTTATCAATATATCAATAAAGTAATTAATATTATTTCATTAACAACCAATTATTATTATAAGTCATGTGAAAGAAATTTGATATCATTTAATATAACTAAAAAATTTTAATATCTAAATTTATTGATCCATAAACCGCTAAACAAGATCTTAAAAATTTCAAATTTCAAGAATCAAAATTAAAATAAAATCAAGTTTCAGGAATGAAAGATGAATTCATCCAAAAATTTTAACCAGGGTAAGCTCAAAACACATTATTAATTTAACATATTTTTTTAATATGTGAAAATGTGATACAGATAATTTATAATGAGGGCAGAGTGGTATATCCTTGTTCTTTTTGTTGAGGGACATTAAATGTATTTAATGTGCTAAAATAAAATATAATTATTTATGTCTATAAGACTCAATAGTGTCACTGTTATTAAAATTTCAATACTGAAAAAATCGAAAAATATAATAAAAACCCAAAACTACACGGATCAAAACTATTTTCATCCAAAAATTAAAAGTATTTTGTGACATTTAGTCATTTGATATGTTGACAAAAAATGTGACTAACCATGCTGAAGCCCAATTCAATACTACCGCCACCCCTAACCCCCCCCCCCAAAAAAAAAAAACAGGGAATACTAACGCTTGTCAAGTCCCATTTTCCATTTCACGAAAATGTCGAACATTGCATGACTATAATATGCGAAATGAAAATCGTATCAAAAAAATAATGTGAAATGAAATTCTGTAAGCAAAAAATAATCATATTATGCTAAGCTGTAGAAATCATACAATTATGTAAAAATGATGACCAAGAAGATATCAATGCATTTTTCCCGGAAAAAATGATCAGATAATTCATTATGACAGAATAACAATTATTAATGCTTGTGAATTGTTCTTCAGCAAAGTGCAATCACTCTTCAGGATCAATTTCATCTAGATGACCATAAAGTTTTTTCCAGTTATCTGAAGATGCTTTTGTTGTCCGAAAACACCAGATATGTGCCTTTGCCTTCTCACGAGCTTCCAGAATTTCCTGCAACAGATAAATTGACATGCCAGGTTGATTCAACCACACAAGTTTGATACGTGATATATTGCAAATGGAAATTATCGTTGACAACTATTTTTAGGATTAAGAAAATAATAACCAAGAGGCCTAGTTCATTTACGGTACTATTCCCCCCCCCCCCCCCCCAAAAAAATCATCTAGAAGAGAGAAAATGACGGGGGAAAAGAAAAAGCAGAACCAGAAATGACATTTTCATCTTTAATGGCACATGCCCGCACTTGATCTCCACTTCATATTAAATTTGCAAAACAGAGTTGGAAAGAAAGACAATTCCCAATTTTTCTAATTATAAACAGTAAAACATTGTTACGCGAATATATGAGCAAGACGCCCACATGGCAGTTCATATATATGGGTCACATGACACTAAGACAGTATCTAGTGCAGAGGGTAAAAGACAGTATGTGAGACCTACACACTAAAAGGCCCTGTTTGTTTGTCCCCAGGAAAAGGGAATACCTTTCCAAAGCATAGAAAAATAAGACAGGCAATCGTCCATGTCGAATGAGCATGTGGCTTGCTGGTGAGAGTATTCTCTGATCATCCATCATGTCACGAGTTTGACTTGACAGCAAGAATTCACAGAAAATAAGATATGCAATGTCTATTCTACTCCTAATGATAACTATAATTTTTTATAATATTTTTATTCAAGGCATGTGTGGCATTTTCCGTCTCTATATACAAGTGCTTATCCCTCTAAAATTGATCAGCTATATGGATCACATGAATCTATTACCAACTAAAGGGGCTAAAGACCATCTGTTTAACTAACTATTCCATCTATAAGTACATTTATTTTATTTTTATTTTTCTGTGTTTTATTTTACTTTTTTATTAAACATGCCAAACAAGCTCTCAAAATCCAACATTCAAGTGAGATCCACCGCTCATGCGAATTTCACGTTCTATTTCTAACTCTTCTCCTGTCACAATGTCTCGTGAGATATTTCACAGGAAAGAACCTGGATCAGTCAACCTTCACATAAAACGCTATTCAGGTCCATCTCTTATTTTTAGGCCAATAGACCATACTCTATAATACACTGGCAAAGGACAGGAGCAATTATGCACATATCCTACGCCATGTTATACACAAGGTCCAAGTGGCCAGGGCCAGGATATTGTTCGCATGAAGCATGTCTGAAGCAAGCACACAGGAGGGAGGGGGCAGGGAGCGGGAATCAAATATCTTTGCAAAATATAGATATAAGAACTTAGACTCTTTTGAGCCTCCCTGAAACCTGTAAGTAATTCCATTGAGGTTTAGGGCCTATTTGTTCAAGATTTAAAGAATATGATTTTAGCTAGGCTAAACATGAGAAAGTTGTTGAGAACAAGGAGTTGTTAGGAGAATTTAAGTTAAACATATGAGGAATGCATTAGAGAAAGCTTATTTTGATAAGCTATTTGGAATAGCTTATCAAAGAAACGCCAAAAAAAAATTTTTCCCCCAACAAAAGCTTCGTGAGGATTAGCTTAGCATTCTTCCAGCAACTCAAGTGTTGGACTCGACTAAAATCACTTCTCTCTTTAATTTTTAACAAACTGGCCCTTAATCAAGTAGAATAAGCATGTTCAAGAGTAAGCAGAGTAGGGGATCGGATTAGTCAAAAGTAAGCGAATCTACTCTAAGTATGGTTTATTAAACCCACTAGACAGTAAAGTGAAAGGGAAAAGTTCATGAAAGTGCTTGACAAGAAGTTCATTTTTAATTTTCAAGATGTAATTATAAGCAATGCAGATCCTCTGCACTTTGGGGAAGCGTACATCTTTTCTGAACCATTGAATTCTGATTAGATCAGTTTAGATGTTACTACTTTTTAAAAAAATCAAATAATTCTGTAGGGTAGTTATTGAAAACTGAAATTGAAGTTATATTTATTTTACATTCTTCTTTCTTCCAGGAAATAAAAGACATCACAAATAGGGGGAAAAGAAAATGAAAAAATATACAGCACCCATATCAAATCTAAACGGTGCAGAAGAGATGTGCACATATCCCAGATATGTTAAGGGTCCAAGAAAGCAAGGATCAAGTTTAACCCAATGTCTTGTGTTTTCAGCATATTAATTCCAAGGTCTGCCACATTCTTGGTTCTAAAGGGAATAATACCATTTCACCACATTGGAACTATGTTTTGAATTTCTTACAAGGTCATTTTCTTCTCAATTATGAGAGTCAGTATGGAGGTAAACTCATGAACTGCTGACAAGACGGTGGAAAGGAAAATATAACCTGAACATCAGAAGCACGTTTAGTCTTAAGCATCAAGCAGTCAGCAAGAGCACTCCATTTCTCATGACAGTTATCAAGCACACCAAGTCTGTAATATTGCTGCATTTGATGGACTGGGGCTGCATATTAAATATCAAGAGCTTTATTAGATATAGAATCATAACCTAATGAAAAGGAATAAATATTTTTTGTTCTTTTGATTAGGCATTACAGTAGCAAAACCAGAGAGCATCAAAGCACTTGGCGCAGGATAACTTCTGCTTAGGCGGAGAGTCAGAACCTTCTTCCATTGAAGACATGACTGTGCAAATTTGAAAATGCAGCCTTAACCACTGACTGAAACATATATATAATGATGTGAACTACGTTAAGTATCAGAAGAAGGCACATACTCCAGGTTGGACGATATGTTAGTCTGCAAACAGTAGACTCACTGACCTATTAGATCAGTGCCTCACCTCAGCCGTGTGAGAAAAGACCTGAAAAGATTGAGATTTAGAGATAACTCTACAATTCTACAGCTGCATTGCAGATCTTAAATCACTAAAAGAGAATATTCTCATTTTCTATCACCTGTTCTTTACATCCACCTATGGAAGAATTCTAACACAAGTAATGTCTATAACTTGCATCACTCAAAAAAAAAAAAATAATAATAATAATAATAACTTCATAAAAAATTATCTAAATTTAGAAATTCTCAATTAACATTAGAATGGGAAGCATGAGCACATCTTCTGATTTGAATCCCCTTAATTTTTCCCCACAAAATAATGCTTCACTGTAAAAAATTACAAAGTACAATAGTTCAAATATTGTAGGGCAAACAGGAATTTAAACACACCAAGATTAATTAAATTAAAACTCAAATGCCCTAAACTGAAGAGAACATTTTTGTGGTTCAAATCAACAGAAGAAAAATGAGCATCATTAATAAATTTAATAGCAACACAAAAATGAAGTAAAGTACGAGAATTCATGGAAATTAAAATTCAACAGAGAAAAATTAATTATCAAATATTCACAGAGGCACCCCGATTCTATTGCTTCCAACTTGATGACTATAGAAGAATCATATGTAAACAAAGAATGAAATGAAATGAAATGCATACAATTTGAGCATGCAAACCATTATGTAAACATCATGTAAGCCCACCAAATGCATCCTACCCTCTAGTTTCAACCATGGCGAAGTGCATGAATGATGCGCATTCAGAAAATCAGCACAACCAAGCAACCCATAATTTCACAACAAATAATGTCTAGCAGTCGAGATAAAACCATATTCTTGAGTTATAAATCCTCCTGCAGCACCTAAAATCATTCGAAGTTAAAAAGCTAAAATCATAGGACCTATCTTTCAAAACCTAAAATCAGCACCTTAAACCAAAAATAATGATCTTATGGCTATCACATATCAACCAAGAATGATAAGACAATTTCAACAGAACAATCAGCGTGATAGAGTGGCTGTAAATGCACCATTACTACAACTAATAACACAAAGCAGAAGCTTCTTAAATATGCACCATTACTTCGTGAAATTCATCTTCAAGGTTTTGAAGTGTTGGAAGATCCATGACCACCGCACTTTAATAAGGTGTATTTGAACATGCACCATTTATACCATAAACAGTTCAATAGTATGTAAGGCCGTTACTGGGATTAAACAACATTCTGGGAAATAAAACCATCCAAATATGGCCTCATACACTTCGTGAAATTCATCTTCAAGGTTTTGAAATGTTGGTAGATCAATGACTGCCTCACTTTAATGAGGTATATTTGAACATGCACCATTTATACCATAAACAGTTCAATAGTATGTAAGGCCGTTACTGGGATTAAACAACATTCGGGGAAATAAAACCATCCAAATATGGCCTCATACACTATTAGAATGTCTAAGCCTCCAAGTTATATACAACAAACATTTTGTATCAAGAAAAAAGTTTTAAAACAATGATATACTTGTTCTTTCTGACAATGATGTGATAATATTTTATGACATTTGGATTTTAAAATATCACAGGGTACCTAGCAGTAGCTGGACAAGCGACGAGGATTCTGAATGAGACACTCAACCAGAGGGAGTTAGTTGGCCCAAAAACAAGAGGCAAAAAACAAAAGGAGATCAGTTTAGCCAAGGTTGAACCAGAAGATGGTAAACTATAATTTAATGTCCAAGATATAACAAGCTCTATTTTTGTACATCGCATTACAGAATAAAGCAACATTACTCAAATGCAACACTTGATTTTCCGTTCCAAGTTTTTCAAATGCACAATATATAAAGACAAAAGGTAAAGATGCAAATAATTTCAATACCTCCTTTTTCTTACACTCCGTGTAGGCATCAAAATGTTCGTGACATTTACTCTTACCAGAATTAAATTCTTCAAGACCTGAAATATTATAAAGAAGTTAGATACACTTATTATAGGCCCAGTCGCAGAATGGAATAATCAGTTTGCGTTATTTAATTCCACAGACTCAATGTTCACTAGACATTAGCCATGAATTCAGGATTTCATTCATTTTATTTCAAATAATCATATAATCATATAAATGTATAACAATTAAAAGTCATGGGAGGCTATTCCTGCCTTTAACGCGCGAAGGATTTGTTAGGGTTTTCTCTCTCTGAGCGATCCTTATGGCGAACACTCGAGGGCCGCCGATCGCAAAGGCGGTGGCTACAGCGAAGGAAAAGGATGAGCTGGAAAGAAGCAGGAAGAAGGTTCGCAAAGGCTGGAACAGCGTCTTATGAGGAAGATTTCCCGCAGATTTCTCAAGGAGGGTCGCTGGTTTGAAAGAAGGTTAGGCGAAATCTTATGGCGACTCGAAGGGTTTAGGCGGGAGGTGACGAAACAAGGGAGGACCGATTCTGTTCGGAACGGAGTCGATTGATGAGGCGGACACTGGACTTAGTGTGTTCGGCTCAAAAAAAAAAAAAAAGGAGGAATTTTAATATTATCTCATTTTGATAGGAGAAGGGAAAAAAAAAAAAACAGAGATTTTTTTATGATATAATATATGATCTGATAAGAGCGTAACAATTAGCATATCTTTCTCATGTGATATAAGATCATAATGTAATCTAGTAGATATACAAACTAATTATAAGTATACTAGTCTGAAGAAGTTAAAATATTACCTTTTCCCATCAAATCTCTCTCATTGAGGATTATAAGGCGAGAGGAAGGGAATTCTTAACAAAATTTTCCTCTCCTTGTAAAAAATTTAGCAACCCAATTAAGAGGAGATGAACAAAATCCCTCATACTCTTTCCTCTCCCCTCGTCTCTCCTCATACCAAATAAGCCTTTAAGAATCATTGTGAAGGGGCTTTTGTAGATCAATCAAACCCGAGTAGCTTGTTGATGAGTTGAGAATGAGTGGCTTTATCTGGATTAAAGCTTTGACTATCAGACTATGTTAGCTTGATTTGTTTTAGCTAACAAACCCGATGTGGACTCAAGGTTAGGTACCTCCAGTACAATTCTGACAGAAGTGACGTATCATTTGTGATTGTGAGTAAAAAGAATTTACTAAACCATGAGTGACACTTCAAACAGCCTTAAACCCGTTCGACTTTCTTCCTCCTTTACCCCTCAAAGACTTCCTTCCTTTGTTCATAGATCCCTTTCTAAAAGGATTGAAAATCTCATTGAGATAGATTATGTTCCTGAAGATGCTAAAATTCAAGAAACAGATCTACCTCTTCTCAGTCCTTATAGCCTCTATCATCGTACCAATCGTGTCTCTAAAAACGTTACAAATCTGACGGCCTCATGTGAAAGAAGTTGGAAAACTATGGTCTTCATGCTACCTCTTCTTAACTATATGTTATTATTGACATAGCCCAGCCTTTAATTGGTGAATGGAAGGCTCAGGGTTATACTCATCTCCATGTTAGTGCTATATGTCTTATTCTTACTCTTCATGGGAGAAAAAGAATTCCAGCCACTACTAAAGTTGCTTTAGTTGATACTACATATACGTCTTATAGTAATGCTCTGATTGGTGCCATTTTAACCACTCTTAGCAATGGTAGTGTCATCCTTACAATGGCTCCGGATTTTAACATAAAACTCTCATATCCAACTTTGATGGATTGATTGAAAGTCCACATCTAGATAGTTGGAGCAATCAAGATCCTAGAGCTATTGCAGCAACTCTTCATAATCAAATTATCTACAGACTCTAGAATCATTCTCTTAATCTCCATTTTCTAAATTCCACCAAAGACGCTCTTTATGTAGTTTATAATAGAGCTGATGATACTTCTATTATCCAGATTCCCTAGCAGGTCCCTAAAGAAGAACTTGCTCAGTTGATGCCTCTTAAATGAATCACTAATTATAAAAAACAATTTCATGGTGTTCAAAGAGATGTCCACACCTCTACTCCCTCAGGGATAAAAAGACTTTTAGACGGCACAGTCAAAACCATCTTCTTAAAACTTGGCCAAGAAGGTCCTTCTGTTCCTTCTGGACATATTTTGTCTATTGTCCCAGCTTATACTCCATCCAAGCAAGACCTTCCAATTGGTTGGGTAGACCAAAATGCCAAACTATGTTATGTGTCTCACATAAATGGTCATTTTATCTAGGATTATACACCAGAAGAATGTGATCCTGATTGTGAATGTAATACACCTTATTGGTGGGAAACATCAAACGATGAAGATGAACCTAGATGGTGTTATCCCATCACGTATGCAGCAAAGAAGAAAAAAGAGAAGTAAACCCATGCATCTCCTTATTCCCACAAGAGTTATAGTCATGATGATGATGATGATGATCATGGTTCAAAACAGCAAGCTAGAAATTAGAAAGTTCCTATTCGTACTATTTCTTTTAGTGAATTATCTTTACATGATTTACTTAAAGAAATAGGTCATGAAGATCTTTTCCTAAACAAAAGCCAGATCTAGTGATCCCTGTCATCCAACAACCTATCTCGTGCATAGCAATGATAGATCCTTACGAGCAAGATTTTCCTCCACTTGAAAGAAGAACCAACAGAGAAACAAAGGTTTCAGCAAGACCTTTTTCATTCCCAATAGAAATTTCTCCCTTTGGTGAAGCTAGACCAGTCTCAGCAACAGAAGAAGCTCTTAACTGGCAGACCCAGAATGCAATCGTTCAGAACAGAACCTTGACAAAGATTTACTCAAAGCTTGATTTGCTGACACTCAGAACTGATACTCTAGCAAGTAGACTAGATCAAGTATTTGATCAAGTCAAACAACTTTATATGACCTTGTCTTCTCAAGCTTATCAATTGGATGCAGATTTGAAGCGGTTTATTGAAAAGGGATACATCGGACTAGAATTCACCAGAAAGGAGCAAGAACTGTCATAAATCCGAAAGGATTTACAAAAGATCGAGCTAGATATTGTAAAAAACCATTCACAAACCATCTACGACCCTTATCCATCCTACCCTTCCAATTTTCAGATTCCTACCTATCCAACATCACTTGTCTCTTATCCAAGAGGGTCTGATTACAGTAAGGTTTTCAAAATCTCTTATCCTATTTTAAAACAGTTGAGAAAACCTCAACTAACTCTTTGTCCAGTACAACCAAATCCTCTTCCTAGACCTCTAATAAGACCACCTTATTTCCCTTCATCTGAAAACCCTTTTCAACCATCACCCTTACACACTAAACCCATTGAACCAACACCATCCTCTCAAGGAATTATAATCAAAACTCCACCATTATCTCCACCAAAACAAACTCCTCCTCCAGACAGAGAAAAGAAAAAAAGAAGTTGTTGATCCAAACAAGATAATAACCACTCTCCAATCCTTGAATAAAGATCAATCATCATCAGACCACAGCTCAGAAACTGAAATCAATCCTTCTATTGAATATAATTCTAGCTTTGACTCTAAGACACATCATGCTGATATTTCCATAATAGCAATAGTCCAACCAGATCCTACAGTAGAAGATCCTCTGACGAAGAACTGTTTGTCCCAAATACATCTTAGCCAAGAAGAACAGATTACAAGCCAGCTATAGGTCTATGGTTTGCTTTTGATGGCTTCCTCCAGAAAAATGGAGAGATATATACTCCATGAATTTAAAGCATGGATTGACTTGCAGCTTGCCAAGCATAATACAAACCTTGAGAAAGTTCTCACAGAATTTGTCTCAAGACTGACAGGAACATGAAGAGAATGGTTTCAAAGACTCAGTGACTATCAGAAAATTGCAACAACCAGAGTCGATAATGCAGGAACTCTCTTGGGACTCATTCATAAATAATTCATTAGTGATTTTTGTCACATCCCGCTGAATTTAGTACTGATAGAAGGGATAAAAATTTAAGTCAAGGGCCAATATGAAAGGTAGACTGGCTGATCAAGCCAGGCATGACATAAGATCCAGATAAGGTTCAGACCGATATTTTTGAAATTATCGGTCTAGGAAGGGCAAAATGAGAAAACTTGGAAAAAATTCTAGAAAATTCGTAAAAAATAGTAAAGGGTGAATTAGAGGTTTTAGAACCTCAATGGAGGCTCTAAAGGTGAAAATGGTATGAAAATAACTTATTATGAAATTTCCTGAATACAAAGGTTTTTTGGGAAAACAGTAAAAAATTGAAAGAAAATAATTATTTTAAATAGCTAGAGGCCTCAATAATTTTGAAAAAAAATATGGATTAATTATCTAAATATTTATGGGAATTTATAAAATTGGTTTCAGGCCTTGGAAGTAGATGAATTCATTTTAGAGAATTTATTTTCCTTTAGTTTTACCAATAAAGGCCTCATCAAGGAAAATTCAAAATAAATAGTTAGAGGAGGAGAAAAATCTTGAAAATTTCTAGATCATGTCCTTATATTAAAATGGGATTTTTCATAGAGAGAAATAAATTTTTGGAGGCCTGGAAAAATTATGAAATGTTACTAGTGAATAGTCACTGATAAATTTTTGAAATGGTTTGGGATTGTGATTTGATTTGTCGGCCATCTTTTTAGGCCATCCTAAACCATAAGTGGGCCCCACATTGGGCCCAAAAAGGCCTCATTTTGTGTAGCTTCTGGACCTTTCCATTAAATGAAAATAAAACCCAATTTCACACAAAATCAGTAGGAATATTCTGGAGACTTGACACTTGGCGTGATCTGAAAATTAGAGGGTTGGATGGCAACCACATGGCCATTTTTCTGGCCAAATTATGACCATAAATGAGGGGAGGAAGCCATACTTTTTTGCTCTATAAATACCCCTTCAAAATACCCAAAAATAGGTAGAAAATTGGAAAAAAAAACAAGGGGAAGTGCTGCCCATTTCGTTCCTTGAGTTGGAGACTGATTTTGATAAGTGCTTTTGGACAAGAAATCATCAAGCTTTAGTCAAGGATTCACTAAGGTATGCTTAGGTTTT